ATCTCACTCACCCACAACTGCTCTATCTTTCTCTCTCATTTTCCCAATTCCAATTTAAAAGATTTTCTTGTTGTAAATTTGTCAAATTGAAATTTGATTTAAAAATCTTTTTTCACAATCATTAATCGCACAAGAAGATGAGAGTCTCGCGCAATGCGATAACATCAGTTCACTGTGTCTCTTGCTCTTCTTCTTGTCTTACCATATTTTTTTTTCGTCGAACTTTAAAATTTATTTAAAATCTGAAAATATTTCTTGCAAAATTATTAACGATCATGCAATATAAACAGGCCAGGGCATTAAAATGAAACTTACTTATTCACTTCTCTCGCTGGGTCTGGTCTTTTTTTCTGTATGTGCAATTATTTAGTTTATATGATTTTAATTAATTGAAGTTATAGCATTTTATGAAATCAAAAATGAAAGAAGTAAAAAATCGAGATAAGAATCGCAAGAAAAAAAGTAAGTATATAAAATGCCAGCAATTCCATGATGATGTTTATAAACATTTCGTGATTCTGAGATGATAACAATCATCATTATATAAATTATATGCCAACTCGCTCTCCTCCTCTTTATTTCATTTGGACATCATTTTTAGCGAGATTTTTTGCGCGTGACTGTCTTGGATTGTGTTACTGCGAGCACTTTGTCTTCTTCTTGATGACTTTTAGGATCTGTAAAGTAGTTTTTGCGTGTTCATGTAATAAAATATGATATTTAGCACTTTGAAGATTGAATAAAGTAATTTTTCGAGAATATGTGTATTAAGTAGACGAGAAGCATCTTGGACTTTGAAGTAATTAGCTAAAATTATGTATGTTTTAGTATTTACTAGGTTTCTAATGTAATTTAAATAAGTAAGACATAATTTGTTCATTGGTGGTTCAGAATTCGACATAGGAATATCTTTAATAGTACACCAACTTAATTTATCACAAAGGTTGACGAGCACTGTCTGCAAAAAAAGAATTAAGAATATCAAGCCATAATTAGGCTAATCTGTCAATGCGAGAGTAAGGCATTTGTGGTCGAGTAGTTATGCAATACATCAAATATCTGGAACCGTTTTTCACTCTGAAAACATGAGTTTGATTCTTAAAAGTAGCGCTCTTTTAATCGTTACAAAATTCCCCTTTACTGAATTTATCAGTCCTTAAAAAAATGTGAGTTTGTCACCATTCTCAGAACAAGTTCAGAATCAAATCCCAACAATAACTGTAGTTTTAAATGTTCAAGGTTGTGATTAACTGGGATTCTTTGCAAAGAATACAAAAGAACAGCCTCAAAAACTTAATCAAGCAATTGATTGTGACCTTTGAGAATTTTTATATTTATAAGGTTAAGAAAAATTATCAATAATTTATGAAATGTCAAGGCAATTAATGATCTTTTACTCGATAGATAAGTTAACCTTTTTCTAATTTTAACCCCATAAAAAGTTTTTTACCCTTTCTGAAATTATTATATCCTTTATAATATTTTTAACTTGATGTACATCTTAATAAGACTGATTCAAGTAATTGTTGCCACACTGAAGAAGTTGGATAGTAAAAATTACTTACAAGGTAATACGCATTGTAGATATTACCAGCAAATGTGACACTAAAATAATAAATATTTAATTTTAATTTCAATGTCAATATGAATCGACTTGAAGAATCTCTACGAACAAATGTATTAATATCTAGAAATTATTTCTACTGCGACAACAACTTTTATGCGTTGCAGACCATAAATTCTTTACTTATCATCATCTCCACATCTCACGTCTTTTTTTTTCCTTTCTTTAGTCATTTTCTCAAGTCAATATGTGAAATGACATTCCATCCAATCTGAATGATATTAAAATTTGTATATTATTATGTTCGAAATTTTAATGTGTGAATTTTATGAGCGTTAATTAATTTTATGATTTTTGAAGGCTAAAATACAACAAAAAGAATATTTTTTTCTTCTCCTTTTTTAGTGGCTGTTCCAGGTTGTTCTACAAATTAATTTGTGAGAAAATATTTTATTAATATCAAATAGAAATCTAGAGTCTACACCACACAAAGGTCAATGTGGCAATAAATATATTGAAAGGGGTTTTTTTATAAGGTTTCACTCACGCAGCAGACAAGAAGGTCTTAATGAATATTATTTTTTTTCTGTAAAAATTTGAAATTTATCAATACGGAAAAAAATGAATGCACTTATAAGACTGCAATTCATATTACACATTTTTATTATTTTGTACAAAAAAAAAGAAGTAAAAATCATGCGAGGAGAAGAAGGAAGGAAAGTGAACAATGGAATTAAATTTGAGAGTCTCAGACGGGCTTAGAAGTTATTCACATGGAAGAAATCAAGATAGGGTAGGTAAAAGTACAATTTTTCGTTACCTTTTTGCAGTCTTAAGAAAGTAAAAGAAAAATTTGTTTGCAAAATAAAGGAATTTTATGGATTATCGCATAATGATGCCTCTAAAGATCCTTCAATGTGCATTTAAACTTGTGGAAAATGTAATTACAATAATCCACAAAAAGAGATTACATTTTTGCAATATATTGATAGAAAAGAACAACAAACAACAGGATCAAACCTTAAATAAATCCAGGCAACACCAGAAAAGAGTCAAAAATTGAAAAAGAGCCAAAAAAATATTTTCTCGGATTATATTTGCTCCCCGCAGGATCTTAGCGGTTAGCATAAACACATGAAATAAAGTTTTTCATAATCTTATGATCCGTGCATTGAAGATTCAAACCACCATGAAATTTGGATGAAAACTAAGAAGCTACTGAATTGAAAAAATGATTATTATTATTACATAGACTTTTGGAAGCATAAAAAGATCTTCAACATAATTAAATTTCTCACAAAAGAGAAATTTTTTTGAGTCTTAAAAAATAGCCTTTATGTCGATGCTGTTGCTTGTTGCTTTATGATGATGGTAAAAAGGTCGCTTATTGTTATGCGCTACTGATTTTTTATTCGTTAACGATATTCTTAACAAAATTTGATTGACGTAGGCCCTCTCAAAATGAGAATAAAATGAACCTTCTGTTTAGTTTCAATGCATAGCCTTAATTTCTTTCTACAATGTTGGTTCCTTTTTCTTTTCATAATTTTTTTAATGCTCTGATGTTCATTTTTATGCTGCTCTACATAAATACATAAGGGCATTTAATTTAGATTAAAACCACACACTTATTTGGTTCGCAATCAATTTGTATTATGCTTTTCAGTCTTTTTAAAGATTCTGAGAAATTTCCTTGTGTGACTTTTAATTTTTTTTTTAATTTGATGAAAATAATGGAATAATGAGATTCTGATGCGTAAGAAGTGGAAAAATTTTTAAGATCCATGATTGGCATATGATTTATTTATATGATGTGTGATGGCATGAAATTAAATGGACTTTCTTACTATGAATAATGCTTGTTGCGCAATTTACAATAAATGTTCCATATCCCAAAGGAGATTGGATGTGTGGAACTTAAATATGGAATATTAATGTGGAATAGTCAGGAGAAGATACAAAATGCTGAGAAGATTCTTAAGTATAATAACAGTTGAAGATTGCCTCAAGTTTTGGTTTTTGACTCTATGTGTTCAGTTTAGTGACTAAATCAAGTCCATTTCTAGAACATAGTAGTTTTCTGTTCGAAAAAGCTTGAAATAAAGGTTTTAATCACCATGCTGCCAATTGAATCATTGAAAAATCAATTGATATGTCTGTGCGTAATGAAGTTTATTAAGGGATTAGTTGATAAGCATAAATCAGCATTTCCTGATGAATAAAATCTCTAAATTACCATATTACAGCTTAAATTCCCTTATATGGCTACCGACATTAATTTTTATTTTCTAAGCATAATAAAATGAAATTTTCAATAATTTGTTTGTTTCATCATTATGAGGAGCCTCTTAAGTCTGTCTTAGACTGACAGCTGTAATTCAGTCATTATGATATTTACCATTAAAAAGAATTTTTCTAATAAACTTGAGAGATCTCCATTATAAACATTTATGTCGGCTGTGATCATCTTTACATAATCACACGATTGCGATAGAGATAAACTATTGAAAGACTTAAACATAAACATTGAAATTAATATCGACATAAAGCACTGACTGAATATATTTTTATTATCAATTTGGATTTATAAGGCATGCATACGAACACACATAGTTTGTGTTTAATAGCCCACAGTTAAATGGATAGAAAGAAAATCTTTATTTTGCCACTATAACAAGTTTAAGAAATAGTTGAACTTGTCACACATGTTTGACACACACATGGTCCATAAATATGTTTTCTATAGACTCTTCATCTCTTTTCCTTATTCTCCTCTTTAGGTCTTGTCATAAATGTATGTTTTGGATCTCATGGTTGAGCAAATTTTTTCTCTTCTCTTTGTGGTGCTTTCTTGCCTTTTTTGGACAGCACAGTGCATTTATGCAAACACATTTAAGATATATGCATAAGGATAGAAAGAAGAATTGAATGGAAACAGATTTCCTCAATTCTTTCGTATGTCAATACTCGAAGAGTCCTTTTCAAATATTTGCGATGCTATTAAGTGTTCCTTTCTTTCCATCTCACTCTGTGCATTTTGAGAGACTGACTTTGTTTTATTTTAACGCCGAATTGTCCTTTTTTTTTGTTTGAATCGTTTCCACTTTTTCTCATCGCATCCTTTCTAGTGACTTTCATGTGGGATATTTGTGAATATGTTTGAATTGTGGACGAGTAGTCTATATTGATGAGGTTTTGAGTAAAATGAAAGGTTTTTGACGATTCTATATGACCATTCAGCTGTAAAAAGCAATAAAGTAAAATATTTTAAATGTATAAAATCTATGAAATTTAAAAATTAATTCTTTGCGAAGGTTTAAATCCTTACTGAAATAAAATTTTATTTGTTTAGTAAAACTGCAAACTTTTCTTATTCTTGAATTTACACATTTTATTTTTTTATTTCATAATATTTTTTGATGTAAATAGTTACAATAGTATTTAATTAATATATATTTTCATCATTATTATAATTAATTAACTAAAATTTGGCTATTCAATCGATTCACTTTTTTCTGTTACTTTCTTTATGTACATAATATTGATCATCATCCCCATTGCTTAACCTAATTTTGTTTCACTTAGTATACTTAATTAATATATTGGTTTAGAAGCTTTTTGGTTTATTGGAAAAGATTAAGACAGTTTAATTGAGGCTATAGATTATAGTTGATCTGGAAGGGTAGCAAAGAAAGTAAGCAAGGTTAAATTGTTCGTGTTTTAGTTCATGAACATTTAATAACAAAGTTGCAGCTCTTATAGATTAAAAATAAAGGTTTATTGCGATTCAGATTGTTCGATTCAGGATTAGTTGAATTGATGCAGCATTAAATGAATGTATGTAGAAATCATGGATCTATGCCTCTGCTTTGAATTCTTTTTAAAGATTTAAATTTTCTCAAATTAATTGTTGAAATTATTCAAAATTCAGAAAAGTTCGGCAAAATCATATGAAGGCATTATTGTAGAAATTATCGTAAGTAAATTGCAGAGTCAATTTGCATCCCTAAATTTAAAGATTTGTGAATTAAATTCAAAACTTAAATTTTCATCACTTTCTTTAAAAGCTCATTATTTCCCAAAATCATATCCTTTTCCAAAAAACCAAAAAAACTTCAATCCAAAATTATTTTTTTATCATATTTATAATTTTTTTTCTTTTACATTTTTAAAGTGCGCCATTTTTTGTCTGATACAAGTAGAATTATTTTTGATAGTGCTTTACAATAAGATTTCTCATTAAAATTTATTCACTGGGTTCACTATATTAGTAACTTATTAAAATGATTTAATTTACTTGCTGTGTATAAAAGTTAAATTACTTCATCTCGTCATCATTAATCCCATCAAATTTTTTTTTTAATTTTCTTATTTTCACTTTTTTGAGCATAATTTTCAAAATTAATTTGTTAGCTTCCAGTGCAACTTATGTGGAAGATTTTTCTCGTCTTGCAATAGTTTTGAGAATTAAAATGAAAAATTTGTTATTATTAAAAATACAAAATAAATGTGTCCACATTGTTTTGTTGACTTAATACTGCATGATTCTGATTGAAATGGATATAAAATTCACATTTCATAAGAAGCCCATTTCTAGTGCGGTATATAATGCCTTAATGTCTTTATGTGTTGATATTCTCCAAAATGGAAAGTTTAGATTCTTTGAGGCTTTCTCCTCGTCTGCTCCATCGCCAATGACAACATACGTGCTTTTTCGTCCGAATCTTGTCACGATTCTCTCGAAACATGATTCCTTGCCTATTTTTGGGGATGCAAAATAAGACAAATGTTTAAAATTTGAAATTCAATTGCTAATAATTTTCAAGACATCCAAAAATGGACATCCACACATCAATCGCTAAATTAAATTGTCAAATCTCACTTACCAGTTTTCGTTGCACTGTAAATATTTTCTATTGGAAAGACACCGCCCAAATTAAACAATAAGACTTTCGCCAATGCTGGCACTAATTGTGTTGTAGTCACAAGAACATTTACGCAATTTTCTCGTTGAGCAATCATACTAAGACATGTTGATACAAGTGAAGCCCAATTGTCGGTAATTAATTCGATTTCACTTCTGACTTGAAGCCATTGTTCACGTTTCGGACCGAGTAGACCACCAACACTGTGGATAACAAATAAAAACTTTAAGTAACTGACAATCAAGCATGTTTAATAATAGAACTTACTTATTCCTGTATGTGTTATAAATTTCCTTAATTTTACGATAACGAAATGCAAGCTTTCTCATCCAATCAACACCACCACGAACTCCATTTGGCAAGCAAATATTTGGTGCTCCTGAAATGGGAAAGAAATAAAATAAAAATTTTTGTTCCATCTTCTCTAGTTCAGTTCTTTATGTTATTTTTAATGGCAAAATAAATATTTGAAGACGTTTTCATCATCAAACAGCATTTTAGGGGAATGTCATGTTGAAATGTGTGCATAAGCAAGAGAGATAGACGAAAAAATTGTAAAGGAACAGAGACAATTATTTAGGCGAGGGTGAAATGCGAAATGTTTGTTTAGCAAAAGTCAAAATAAAAAGCATTTCATTAACCCTCAAATCAAATAGACAGAAAATTTAACGGAACAAAATGATGAGTTTGGGATGATCCATATGTTTTTTTTTGTGAATCAGGGTTGGAATTAACACTTTACAATACTATCTTGGAGTTTTTGAATTATGCATCTTAATTTTTGCTTCTTTCAGGAACCAAGGTACTAAATAGACAATAAAGCAACTTTAATTCACAGCATTTAATAGTCCAACCTTTGACTAGTTAAAACAGTTCTAGAAACCATTTTGAAATATTATAATTAAAACTATTAATAGATTATAAAGTTTTAATTGCTTTCAAAATCAATGGGGTTCCTTTCACATTAAAAAAATCAGACATATTCTATTCCAATGCTAACAACTTATAACTTCAGTAGTTCCTGTTTTATAAATCTAAATTATAATTAACATCTTAATTATTCCAACCCTGTAGCCATTAAATTTCCATCATTATCATTATAATCTAAACAAAAATGGTTGACACTCAACATACCTTGCGCATTGCCAGTTTGAAAGCCATCGGTCGCAAAATTATAAGTACTTAAATCCTGTCCATTATCATCAGACGAAACATCATCAATATGAATTTGATCACATTCTTCGACATCGTTGAAAAAGAAGTGATTATCAGCCATTGTGAAAATCATTTCTTCCATACGATAGCCCATTTGAGCAGCTAGATTTGGATCCTAATTAAATGAAAAATTAATTAATTGAATTAAAACTAAACAGAAGCAGTAGAACAGACCTTATTGTATCGATTTGGATAGCTGCCAGTTAAAAGTGTATGAAAAATGATGATTGTCTCATCTAAATCCCATACAAAGACTCTCTCCGGCGGTTTAACATTATCGACTGAGGGTGTATCATTTAATGCTGATCGCGTGGGACTCGTATTCTGCTGTCTTCTGCCACGTGCCTTCCCTTTTGATGGCGTTGCTTTTGTTGTTGTCGCATGATTAGACGTATTTGGTGATATTGATAATGGCGATTGTGGTGAATGTGCTAAACCTGATGGAGTTCCAGGCGTCTCTGATGGACTTTCAGGCATTGCTGCAATGTGGAAATTTTGACTACTGCTCGATCCTGGCGAACTAACATAAGGTGAATAATTTGTATTGTAATATGCATTGTATTGATCATTATTAAGATTGTAATATCCCGTGTAATCTTGTTGCGATGTTCCAAACTGTCCAAAATTGTTATAGCCATACGTGGGATAAAGTTGTGCTGAATTGTTATTTGTGGCGTAACTTGATGATAAATATGTAGCATTTGGCGATGGAATTTTCGATGATGATCTTGTTGTATATGCAGAGCCATATGTAGTTGGATAGAATGGTGGTGTGTATTGTTGCATGCTGTATATTTCAAAATATAAATTCATGATTAATGTGTACAAGCTTTTTTAAGATGAATTGTTCATGCATACCTGTTATAATAATTATAGTACTCTTGCTTGTGGTCATAAGCATTTGAACTTTGTGTAGCGTCTAAATTTACAGTATTTGTACAGAGAAATGCTGAATCTAAATGAGTTGGCGCTAAAGGTAGTGCGCTTGCCTCAACCAATGACGTTGGACTCTTTATTTCTGTTTTTACTAAACATCAAAAATAAAACTTAATTAAAATTAACTCTACAGTTATTAATTCAAAGTAAAGCCTACCAGAATTAGACGGTCCATCACTCAGCCAATGTGACATTCCCAGTTCTGAACCCAACGAGTTAGAACTGCCACCACAAAGTGAATTTGTTGTTAAATGTAAAGCTGAGCTGCCAAGCGATGATAAAGCCGTCAAGCCTTCAATTGGCGTGGGATGATGTGCTGTTATTGCTGTTGCTGCCCCGCTGCTTACTGACGAATTGTTGTGTTTTGAATTGTGTACACTTCCAGATAAAGATGTTGTTGAATTAATATGATGATGATGATGCTGATATAAATGATTATTGTTATAAATATTATTATTATTGCTCAATGTTGTTATGGACGCACTGGTGGGTATAGATGACGATGATGAAGAAGACACATTCGAAGGTGGTGTCGATGCAGACGATACAGTCGATGTGGATGATAAATTTAATCCACTTATTAATGCTGGTGAATTTTGTTGCTGATGCGTTGTTGTCGTTGACGACAAATTTCTATATTGATGATTATGCAGCAACGATTGATTAGATGGTGAATTTTGATGTAAATTGTATGACGAGAGTAATGGCGATACGTTACAATCACTTTGTGTTGTAATCTCTGAACTACATAATCTGTTAAGACAAAGAATTGAAAAATACGTTAAACTATTATCATTCCATTAACTTTACGCCCCATACACATGCTACATTAACAGGCGTGCCTCGCATGTGATTTTCTTTTTTGCATGCTGATTCAGAGTATGGACCAGAAAACAAATTAATTATTAAAAAACATATGTGCCACAGATGCTCGTATTAGAAGTCTATTAAAGATTTCTAAACAAAAAGAGATTTTTTTTTGGACCAAAAATATGAAAATAAACTTTTGTGGGCTTGTGGATGCAATCAAGTCAACATTTTTTTAATGTCCCAAAAATTCTCAGAAGACACAAAATAATATTTTTTAAATATGTAGAAAAATAGAGTGGATCTCCTTCAATTATGTGTAAAATGCTTTAATGCAAGATGTTCAAAAACCCCGGAAAAAAATACGAAAAGGAGTCGAATTAAAAGAAAGAAAGGCACTGAATGAGCACATCTTATTACACAGTCTAATTAGTCAAAACTTTTCCTTTCTATCTCGCATCATAATTAGTGTAACAACATTTTTAAAATAATTTATGATGAATTTCTCTCCTTTCAAATAAATTGAAAGAAAAAAAAACTAAGGCAGAACGTTCTCCTTTGAACTTCTTTCCTCACATTCTTGACGTCTCTTTAACGCATGGATGTCAGCAATTTGACAATCACTTATGGTATCTCTTATTATTCATTCACATGGAATGTTTATTTGACAAACAACGATGCACACTGCGGCCTTAGAACAAGAAATATACTTTGAGATGATTCAGGCTGGGAAACTTGGTCAGAGGAGTGGCATGGGTTTTTGGCATTTGGTTCTCTTATTCTTAAAATTTGTAAACCAAACATGGACAGGAAAATCATATAACCAAATAGTTTGGTCGTGAAGTAACACATCTCCTGGCTGGAACCCTCTCACATCATTATGTTATTAAGGAGTTTGGAATTAACTGATTGTCCTACAAGTTGCGCTTAGTTTCTAAGCCTAACAGTCGATTCTAAGGGAAAAAAATCATTTCATTGAGAAATCATCATTTCCAACATTATTATGCCTACATGTATTTTATTCCTTTTATTATATCTTTTCCGTGAACAGACATAGAAGTGCCTTTGTAAATCATGAAATAAATCATTAAGCTACAAATGTGTCAAGTGTGCCTGTCTCTTTTCTTCTCATGCTCCATACTCGAAATAATTTGAAAAATTGACGAAGATATAAAAAATCTGTGAATGAATGATTTTTTTTTCTATGTCCTTTTTTTCACAGAAATAAGAAGACCCAAAAAAATGTGTGCATGTGCATATGAACAATTTTTCAATATTTAAGGAAACAAGCAGAACAATATTGGAATGAGAATTTATGTGTCAAGTGTTTATTTTTATGTGAAGGCATAAAAATTTCTTATGAGAGGAGAAGCATGAAAATGAGTTTGCATGCTGGACGGATAATTAATGACTTGTTGCAATGTGCTAATTTTAAGAGAAAATATTTTCAGGCAAAAGCAATTAAGATAGGGAAAAACACGATCTTTAAATTGTAAATTTCTTCTCATTCTGTGCAGTTCTTGGTGATTCTCTTTGTTTGTTTTCTCATCTGCTGAATGAGGATTTATAAGATGTTCACTCTTGAATCTTTAACGTCTTTTGTTTTTATAACAATTCTGATAAGGAAGTCAGAATCAGCTAAACAAATAAACTGTGAATGGATTTGTAATTTAAATTTAATGCCTAGCTTGTAAGTTGCAAGATTTCAAAGTTTTTAGTCATCCAGAGTGGAAAAAGATTCAAAAATTGCAGACTTATGGAAATTTTATTTTTGAATCTTATACAAAAGTTTTAATGCTTGAAAAGTTACGATTCAAAACTAAATGCTCAGTATCATAGAAATGAAGATGCAGCCAGACATGCTATTCGAATGCAATAGTTGAAGATCAGCAAAATTTAGATTAAGATTAGTGAAATTTTAAATCAACCATTTGAACAAAACTTCAATAACCAAAATCCTTTCCTTGCCAACAACTTTATGCCTCGCCTAGCACTAAACCCAAAGCAAAATCTAGAAAAATTCTAAATCAGATCACAAACTTCGTTGAAAGCACCATTAAATTACAATAAAAAATCCATAATGCAATAAACAAAATTAACAAGTCATAAGGAGATTAATAAATAATCTCAATCTTTCACAATATGAAGCTTCATTAATTTCCATACGCTTCTCACAGCGAAGAGCATAATAAAAAATTACATTAAGCTGACTAATTAAAACAAATCTTCATGACACTTTCATACAGAGAAAGAATTTACATGCATTTATGTCTGTTTGTACTACGATATTTATCTACAATTTCATTTCTTGCTGTTGATGCAAGCAGATTATCGTCTTACTATGTATACGGCTATAATATATTTAAAGTGAGCTTATCTTAAGTGAATGGGAGGTAATGTCTTTAATTTGGTTGCATGAGTTGGTTGGCTTGAGTTTGTCGGCGAGGATATTGAGCTTATTTGTTATCATGTTTACTGCTTTCACGTTTTAAAATATTTGAATTATATTCATGGGCAAGCATCATCTAGTAAGTAATTCCAGGACATACAGTTAGAATAAAGCTCTTTCCAATTATATATCCCAAAACTTCTTTAGTTTTCCAACTCAAAATGAGCCGAAACAAGATTTTCATTGGCTATATAAAAGCGCTATAGTCACCACATCTCCCGAGAATCATCACCAATTAATTTTGTGAGTGCATTGCATCATGAAAGCAATTTGTTACAAAATGCACTTTTATTAATGTTTATTTGACGTAAAATTGATGTAAATTTTTATTTCTTGATCTCTAAGTCATTTTTATTTATTTAACAAATAAGATTCAATGTATGTAGGCAACAAATCATCGTTACTATGAGGAGCGTGAAATGTGAATGAGTTTGAGCATGCTGAGATTGCCTTCAATGTCGTTAGAATTGTTTATGTAAGCATTTAGAGATAACTTTCTTTAGTGACTTCCATCTAATGACTCTATTTATTTACTTTAGAAGAAATTATCGCTTCGCAAATTTCCGAGAATTGTTTGTCCACTGTGGCATTTATTATTTCAAAACATTGTCGATATTATGGCGAATATTAGCCGCCGGCTTTTTAATTTCATTTCCATCCAATTCCGTCATCATCTTCTTCTTTTGTTGTTTTTATTCTCGGAATGTGTAATTTGATAAATTTTTTATTTACTTTAATCCGAAATGAAAAGATTTTCTCGGTCAAAAGCATAATCAGCAGTAGCATAGAATATGTTGTCAATTCATAAAAATATTCTGATGCGATAATCATCAACAGATGATGAGATATTGAATGAAAACATTTAGGGAGATGGAAAAAAGGTATCATCGGAAATTTGATTCCATATCCTCAAGGTATTTACTGTATTATATTTTTTTGTGTGTAAGTAAAAAGGCTAACTACATATTAAGCACACAATTTAACATACATAAAGAATCTCTTAATCCAAAAATACATTTATTACATTCTTCTCCTTTTTGTCTTGTTTTTTTTTTTTTTTGTGGGTCCCAAAACGACTCGCAGGTGAACATGATGAGCATGAAGTTATCTAAGATTTACAGAATTGTTGTAAAATTTTCTCATTCATTTCGTTTTGTGATTTTCTAGAAAAAATTTAGGTCGTCTTTTTTGGATGGAAATTCGACACTTTTCATCATCCCCAAATCTCTTTTCTTTGGAATTTTGTGCAGAAAATTTTTGTCCATTCTTTTATTTCTGCCTGAAGAAACATAAAAACAGAAAAAAGGAAAGGAAAGATGAAACAAAAGAATGTTTTTTTTCCTTATTGTTTGCACACTCATGTGCACATATAGACATCATGTCACTTTATGTGCATAATGAAATGAAATTATACCTTAAATATATGTTTAATTAAAAAACATTTCGCACAAGTCACTTAAAATTTAAGATTATAAGAAAAATTAACAGATGACCTTTAACCATGCCATTCTACAAAAACGACACAAAACAAGTCGTAAATAATTCTTTCTCTTTTTTATACGTTACAAATTGCTCTACCACGATCTGGTTGGGGATTCCATAGACTTATGGGTTCGGGATGACAATGAATTTTTAAATGCATTAAAAGATTTCACTTAGTAAGTTGCATTGACGTAACCAGGAGAGTCTGAGAGAATAATTCGCAATGACATTAAAAGGTTTTGATGTCTGAAATCGAAGGAGGATTCGAGACCCCTTTAAGCCTTACAGGCATAGCATTAAAGGGGCGATTTCTGCCTTGAACTGAAAATTCTCCAAAAAAAATCTAAACCTAATTCAATGCAAATGGGGCGCAAATATCCTCAAATGACAAAAATCAATAATACACAGCATTCTAATTTCTAAACCTTCAATTTCCCTTGATGTGGTGTCAAATAAATAAATAATTCATTAAAGCTTTAGTTAATAGCAAGCAATGATACAGCAAGATAGAAAATCCCGGGAATATTCCCATATAAGTGACCCTATTCTCTCACATGCACATTCTGTTCCATTCTCTACAGTGACAATTGTCTTAAATGGCTTCAATCTGTTGAATAGATAAAGACCACCCCGTGTGATGAAGCAACACCAAAAAGAGAGAAATAAAATAAAAATTATTCGTTGAGCATTCACTGTAATTATATGTTAAAATATCCCCAAAATCACGAGAACTCTCTCGCTCTGTTGTGAATTATACACAAAAAAACAAACATCAGGCCACAACAAAATTCTTTTACTTTTTTTTTTCGTACACTAAAACAAATTTGTGTGAATCTAAAGCGTATTAACATAAAGTTTTATGTTCTGTCGTGTTCATTCTGATATCGTTTTTATGTTAACAGATGATATTTGTTGCCCAGCATTTCTTATGTAGATTTCTACTTTGTTTTATATACAAATAAATTTCATTCGATATTATAACACGAGCAGAGGAGATCAACAGGAATGAGGGAAAAGACAAAGCGAGAGTGAGAAGAAAAAATTTTATCTTGTAATTTACTGAGGTGTCAATGATAAAATAAATTGTGTTGTTTTCATGTCGTTTTATATTAAAAAAACATTTATAAAATACCAAAAAAAAAAGTAAATTTATTTTAAAAATGGAAATTGGAATCTTTCATTAACACGATAGACATGGTGATAATCGAAATAATGTGTATAGTGTGCATTTACATATTATTCATGCTGATCATTTTCTTTCTTGGATACTTTTTTAATTTGTGTCTAATTCTTTTGTGACATTTTTTTTGTAAGTGGACATGAGCATTTCAGTTTTGGTCATTTAAATTTACTAAGTGATTTTTGTAAGTTATTGGATTTTAGGGAGATGAATGCAAGAAATTTTAAACTGAATAGAAGTGATGATGTGTATCGGAGATAAGAAGCTTGGAGTTAAAGTTGTAAACAAGTTCTAAAAGATAAAATTGAAGGCATCTTAGTTTATAGAATTGCAAAAGTCATTAATTTCTGTGTGTAGATAAAACTACATATTTAAATCTTTATCTTGGAATGTTATCTTACAGACTTCCTAAGAATCCTTAAATTCATTTCTTACTATGTCTCTATGCTTCAGGACCTTACAAACAGGTTAAGATACAACTGATACTAAAGATTCGAATTCGGATATAACTAAACTTGAGCTCGCTTAGATGATGGATTTTGATCATTTAATCAAAACTATTCTGAATGGCACTCTGGCATGGTGCTGGATTTAAATCGAAGCCTGCACCATGCCAGAGTCATACTGGCTCTATTTCTATTCGATTAACCGACTTATGCTATTTAGGTATGAAACATAGTTGCACGAATCATTGCCTGAATTATTCGTCATAAACCAGTACTTCTCAAACTGTGCTGCATGGCATTTTCAATTAAATCACAAAAAATATATTTCAATTCGCCTAATGTTCACTTCATTAGTGGTTTATTGTATCGCGTTCTAAAATTAGTCCAATTATCCTAAAGTTTCAAATCAAATAAATCTCAAGATTTGCTCCATATGTAGCTATATCTTAATCCATTTTCAAAAGCTTATCACAAACAATTATAAAAAGTTATCGAAATTCTTGTAGTAAGTAAAATTTCATAATTTTACGATCACATTTAAAGAAATAACTTCCTCAAAAAATGCTTCTGTAAGCGAATTGCAATGAAAAAAAAGTTTTAAAATTTCCATGCAAAAGCAATTTCACAGTTGTTAAATTTCTCAAATAGCTCGTGAAATTTTTTCCATAATTCGAATATAAAATTAAGTTATTCAGCTTACCGATTAGTTTTATCACTTGTTTCTGACGGTTCTGTTTTTGCTCGTTTAACCTATAATAAAAACGAGATAGAGATAAAAGAAAAAAAATTATAGTTAAGAATGATGTCATCATGAGTTCTTCAAATATAGAAATTGAAAGTGTGGCAGAGTCAGTTAATTTGTTCGTCGATGTATAAATAAATATTTTATGCTACTTGGAACTGTTTATGTTCACTTCGAAAGAATTCAGTTGTGTAAACAAGCAACATTGGCGGTATAAATTGCTTTATATGACGAATGTCTCAAGTGTGATGTGAGAGTGATTTTATATACACAAAATAGATTTATGGGAGATAAATAATGAGTCAGGAACTTCCGACTTGTTGTCAATATTCTTTTAAGAAAATCTCTTAATCCTGTCATTAGTTTTTATGACATATTTAAAAGATTGAATATCGTGGAATAATTAGTTTCACTTGACAGCATGCATAAATTGTACATTGGGTTGGTTTTGGTGTACATACATTGAAATTCGACTCGATACACTGCTTTTTTATGTGATTTATTGGAGATAATATAAATTATTTTAAAATGGCAATAAATTTTTTGATTAATAAACTTAGTATATCAATTAATAATAATAGCTTCGCCGAGTGAGAGGCTATTGAATATAAATAAACTTATATTTGATGAGACAAACTCCTGTGATTTTCTGGACTCTTAAAAAATATTATTGATGATTTAATAATTAAAAAGATTCATAAATTTCATACTAGCTAATAAATTTTGAAAAAAATATTAAGATAAAAAAGAGTCATTAGCAATTCCACGTAGCACTTTTCAGTCATAATTTTTGTTTTATAATCGTGTGCTCATTACTTCAAAATTAAGCAAATCTTTCTAATATGAAATTTTAATTTCTGGTGTTTAAAACTTAACTTTTTATGACTGCATTTAAGAGCTTTTATCATTAAAAGTTTTTATTCAGAAAATTTGGATGAGTTTTAAAAAATTTGGAGAAATTTCATTGCTTTTCTGTGACACTTCATAATTTTGCTGGAATTATCTGTTTGACACAGATTATGACTATAAAAATTGTTCGATAATCTCTTTCTATTCTGCTTTAATTAGTGGTATATGGAAATATAAGGCTATTAAAGCTACACCTCAAATATTATCGTTTTTCTTACAATAGCTTGCAATAACTTAAAACTTAAGTAAAAAGCTATAAAATGTTTGAAAATCGTTCTCATTAAATTTCTTGTGTTTAGTTTAAGTTTAGTGCATACTCAGCAGTGTCTTGCTTAAGAGTAAGTCTTTAATTACTTTGTATGCTTACTATTACATTGAATTACATAAATAAGAATTTTCAAGAAATGCTAATCAATAACTTTAAAATGCCAAATTCATCAATAAAATCAACTTAAATTTAGACTAAATTAGAATTTATGATGAATTCAAAGTCTGGAAAATGATATACTAGCTAGAAATCATATCTTGAATTTAAAAGCATAAAAGTTCAAATTATTCAAGAAATTTTATGTCACAATAATAAAATTCCAAATAAAACCTCAAATCCTAGTGATAAGTTTTCATAATTTCTAATGAATTGCTTTTCTAATAAATTAATCAGACGATTTATTGATCTAGAGAATAAAGTATGATTTAAAGACCTGAATGAAATTGTTATGTGGAAATTGGTTATATCTTTAACAATGTAAAATGAGACATTATCACTAATGAGTATCCAATTGCATATTTTGCGCCAAAATTATTTCTGACTTTAATGAAGAATAAATTGGAGGATTTTATTTTAAGAATTTGGCTAAAGTTTTTATGTTGAGACATATTGTTAATCAATATTGAGAGTTCTTATTACAAACAGAATCATTTAAAGATTGATTGATTTTGAATTTTTGGGTTTCAAAAAAAGTTTCAAGACATTAAGGTAATGATTAGTTTTTAATTTAATTTAAAAATGATAATTGGTATATTGAGGGAAGTAATTGAAACAATTTTGCAGCTACAAATAAAAATTTTGAATTTTCTAAAGTTTTAAATAAGTTTTAAATAAAATATAAATTTGACAGATTTCAAAGCAACTCAAAACAGATTTTCATTAGACTACTTATAGATCATAAACATTATTTAAGCCCAAGAAGGTATGATTTTTATTCTTTTTCCTATTTATTCCTAATTTATGAATTATAATCCTCTCAAAAACTGATCATTGGATAGCCAAATTTTAAAAACAGCTTAATCTACTTGAAAAATCATCTCCTACACTTCCGCATATTTCCTAAAAACAATTAGCAACAAAAATGTCTGATCTAATCGAACCTAAAGTGTTTTGGACATTATGGAAATGTTTAAAATTTTAAAACTACCTAAAACTTATACAGAGTATCCCAATATTCTCATCTCATTTCCCTCTCGTTTTCGTTTTGTTTTTCGTTATCTAAACATCACAATCAGATTGTAAACCACAAGAAACCTGACTGACAAGATTCTTTTATAAACTTTTTCTTAAACGATCAGTTAAAAACAGAGTGAAAAAATAAAATAAAATTATGTCTAAAAAAATAAATGTACCAACTCTCATGGTGTGTATTAAATATTCAGATGAAATTTTTGTCACTTTTTTTTGGCTTAACACAGTCAGATTAAAAGTATGAGAAAGAATGAAATAAAAGAAAATGAAAATTTATAACATCTCATTAGAAATCAATTAATAAAACCATAAAATTCACACATCACGCCAATAAATTATTCATGCTGGACGAAAACAAATTTTGTATTGAAAGGCACAACATGAGCAGAGAGAGAGACTAAATAAATAAAAACTTAAAATCAATTAATTTAACGAAAAAAAATTAGTAAATAAATGAAAAATATGTAAATTTATTTAAATTTGAATATTTATAACTGTTTACATGATATAATCTAGAAAATTTGTCACAATCGTTCCTTTTGTGTAAGGTGAAAGAGTAAAAGATAGATAGAAAGGTAAAAAAATTCCAAGAAGCTCCAAGAAGTCTTAACAGCTATCAAAGGCTATTCATCTAGGCAATTCCCTCGGACACATTTTAAGAAAAAAAATGAAAAATTAATTCGAAACGTGTTGGACGATAGGAATCATTAGAATATTTTTATTTTTTTATTGCGACTGTAACGATAGAAACGAACTATGAAAATGATCATAGGTGGTACGAAGTCAATAAATGAATTGACAATAAATCTAATTATTGGAGACAGTTATGTTGATTTGAAAACGTCAATAATGAATTTCATTAACATGTAATAAGGTAATGAGGTTCTAGACTTTGATTAGCAAATTCATTAGATTATCCAGGCTAGACTTACTTATTTATAGATGTATGAATTTTATTAATTAATGTGAATTCGATTTCAGATGAAATCTACAGAAATCAATCGGTTTTTGTCAAGTTCTTTGAATTTTTGCAATAGAATGGATCTTGTCTGAATCATTTAGCGGAATTGTCATTAGAATTAAGTCAAACAGATTTCCAATTAATCCTTTACTCATAATGTTAATCGGAAATTGTTCTTAATAATCATTTGTGAATAGTTCCCATCATAATCTATAATAAAGTCGAAATATCTGACATCAAATTTGTCAAAAATAACAATCGTGTACGCGATTAGCGAAATATATGGTTTCTGAGTTGTATAAGTGAAAGCCTAGATTAAATGCTTCTGATATAGCAATTTTACCGTCAATTTAATGTGATTTGATAATCAATAATTTGTGTAACTTGAAACCTGTGCCTTAAGAATGAACATAAGAAGCTGTTATATTTTGGTTACTATGAATGTTTGTGTTTAGTCGGTAGTTTTGGATAGTGTGAATTTTAGAACTTTAAAGGAATATTTTAGCGAAAAAGTGAAAACCTTGTAAACTTTTCATTGTTTCAATTAGAATCCAACCAATATTGAAATCAACTTAACATTAATTTTCAGTATTGATTATATTAATTAAATATGTTTTTGGAAAACTACAATGTTGAGTTTATTATTATTGAATATTATTATTTTCTAAGTCAAAATCTGCTAATCTTTTCAGAATTTTAAATTGAAAGTCTCTTATTTTGTAGCGGATTACAGCCACAGTTATCTTAATCGTTCATTTAATCAACTAAACTAAGGATATAGCAATTACTTTTAATTAATTTATGAATTTTTTTCAGTTTCATCAAAGATCTAATCCTAGTAAAGTAAAGTTTTTTTTTATTGCTATTCTGAAGCGTCGGCAGACTGTGATTTGCAACTTCTATACAAAACCATCAAAATAGCCTTAAAACTCAATATAGTGACCATATTTTAATATTTACTAGACACTTATTAATTTGAACTTGAATATTCTTTGAAAACACTATAATATTAACAGTAACTGCTTAATTTTTTCAACAAATTTCTTTTATGACCAGAATATTGCTGGCTTCATCAAGATTGTCAAAGAAAAATGATAATTCGAGAATTTTTTTATTTCTTGCTGACTTAATATTTTTTAACAACGGAAATCGTCCATGAAAATTTTCAAAGATTGATTTTAAAAATTGATTGTAATAAAATAATTTACAAACTAGTAAAAACCGGAAAATTTTCAAAAAATCATGCCAACTGTATATGACGACATAATCAGAGTGTATAAGCACATTAATCATAATTTATGAATTCTAAGTCTACACTCCTCAATGTGCCAATAATATAAAAGCTAAACTAAGTCTAGATCATAAATGTGAACGGCAATATGCAGCTAGACTTACTCACAACTGAATTATAAAACTTTGCAAAAAAGATACAGTTACTTTACATCAAAAATCTACATTTCTTAATCAAATTGCTTTCACTTCGATGTAAAATCAATGTGATGTGATAATGGAACAAAATGTTTATGACTTTTTGCACATCCAACCAGCCATCAAGTAACACAGATCAAAAGTTGTGAAAAAATATTCACAATGAGAAGCAAAAAAAAATATGTTTAATTAAAATTGTTATTTTTTGTTTTATTATAGTACCTTTGGTTCAATCTCTATCATTTTTTCAATCAGTCCTGCACAGCGGGGAGCAGCTGATAAATAACTACAAGGCATTAATGTCACCATTTCACATAAAACTTTTTTGTGTGTATAATAAATCGTTTTGCGTTTTTTTTATATATTTTCCTCGTTTGCTTTGTTGTTTTAATACTTTTATTTCACATGCACACACTCACACGCTGGATCTGAATTTTAAACTCTGTCTCCATTAATTTTTTATTTTTGTCAATTATTCATTTTATTTGATTATCAATTATCAACACACAAAATCTCGTTTATTTTATATTCTTTTATTTTCTCTTCTTTTGCACATTTCAACACTCTTTCTTCATTTCATTATTAATTTAATGCTCGGCTGTTCTCCTTCATTCAATAATTTCTTTTAATTATTTCCATCATATGTATGTTTATCATATGCAATTCCATTTGAATTGTTTCATTCATTAAACTTTCTTCCTCACTGCATTTGTTTGCAATTTCGTTTCATATCCGTGCCTGTTAATTGCTAGAGAGAATTATTTTTTTTTCTACAATTTGATATGCGTCATGTTAAATTAAAAATGATATCACTCATTGCAATTCATTAATTAAGTACACATATGTTACAAGCTAGGCTGCTAGTGAGTGTCATTCAGCTTTATTTTATGAATGATTAAATTTTAAGAGGAATTCTGATGGGTACCAAAAAGTATTCTAAGCATGCAAAAAACAAATTGTCACTCCATGCATCAACGGATGTTCAATTTTGATTTTGTGTGGTTTAATCTACCTTATTTTTTGGTCAGTTTCTATATGATTTAATTTTATTGCAATAATCCACAATATAAGTTTATTATTTATCACAGATATTCTCATACAGTTCAGTTTTGACACATGATCCTTTTAGCACAAATTCAATTTTTTTTTTCAAGTATATGGATTGTAATTCAATAGTTTCAATCAGTTTTTAAATGAAATTAATAACTAGCGGCAATAAATTTCCATTCTCTTTCCTTTTTTAATATATAACGAAATAAATTTCACGAGCCGTCGTTGTCTCCGTCGTGTAGATTAAAAGCACACACTAATTCCTCGAGATCTCACAAAGAACTGAGCTCACTGGCTTTTTTTTGTGTTGTTCAATATTGAATGAATATCGTAAATGATGAAAGCATAACATTCGTTGTGTGTGCGACTATATTTGTCTCATTTTAGCATGTGGTATCAATGCTATGGTGCTGTTTCATGTCATAAATGATCACTTTGCTCTTCCCCATTTGAACAAAAAGAAAACAAGGAATGAGCATGAAAAAGAATTTGAAAAAATTGCTGGCTGTTGCTTTGTTCGTGGGCCGATGCATAAAGAGAATGAGAGAAGCACAGCATATAATTTTTTTGCTCTTTTCATGCATGTACATTGAATGTTCATTTTATGGAAAACTAAAAAAAAATCATTCAAGTAAAAAAGCATTGTCAGGAAAAATATACATTTTTTATAGAAGGGAACATGCTTCATGCTTCTTACTGCTCTTGTTATTCAGTTTTTTGTGGATACGAACATATTCCATGGAACAGATTGTGAATGTATTATCGAGTAAGAATTAAAAATATGTGATTAAAAAACTAAAGGAACACGGAGAGAGAAAAAGAGATGGAACTAAAACGGTACTGGCTGAAAATCGACCCTTTTATGATGGTTAATAATGTGTTCATTCAATTGAAATTCCCATTGTCATTTGCCATCGTCATATCTCTTGAATTCATTCAATTCGGGTTCTTCTGCTTTTGTGTGTGGTAAATGCAGACATCCAGGGATGCTTTTCAAAAAGATGGCTGTTTCATACATTGTTTTACACATGTTGAATTCTATTAAATGCACTCCAAAAAAAAGCGAGGGTTTATTAACTTCATGAATAGTTCCAGGAATTCTTTATAATACAATTATGCTTTACTATCGTTCATTTTCGTAATATATATTGGAATTAGCACGTATTATGATGGTAAGCATGAATCGGAAGCACAAATGTACAGCAAATAAAATTAAATGATTTATTTTGAAATAACAAAAAAATAATAATAAAAATTCTTTAAAGGCACAAACACCGACTGATCGTTAAGTCATGAATTTGTATTGTTTCTTTTTCGCTTTATTTGTTTTGACTGAAGTACTATAATTACATTATTATTTATTTCATTCAGCTCTGATGTTTATAGGAAATGGAAATGGAAAGTTAAAGAACGTTTTCATGCGTACTTGACTTTAAAAATTAAATAAACTAAAGGTTTTGAGGAATTGCAATGTTATTGCCTTTTAAATGGATTTCTGTTTGGTTCGGAATGTTTGATGAGATTTGAAGCTTGAAAAGGAATTTTCTAATCATTGAGTTTTAAGCTATTATTCGTAGAATTGATTTAATATTAATATGAATTGCAAAAGAAAAGGCGTTCATGCTGATTAAGAGAAAGTTCAAGATACTAACGATGATTAGACTAGAAAGAGTCTTAATTTAACTATTTTAATGTCATTTTTAAAAAATTAGCTTTTAACTTACACAATATTGGTTGAATTGGGTACTGCAACATTTTTATAGCTACATACAAGACAGATGCATTTAGACAAACATAACTGACGGACTTTAATGGAGATATAAAATTCATTTTAAGCAAGCCTGAATAAAAACTATTGATAAAGGAGTCAAGGTGTCTGCAAACCTACAATAAATTCAAAAATGTGCTTATACATGATGCAACCATTTTTCGTCATAAATGCTGATCACATATAATTACCATTGCTACTTTCCTAGACAGTATAATACTTGATTGACTTAAATTTCATTTTGCAAAACAACAAAATGGATGAAAATATTTGCAAATTGCAAAAAAAAAGAAAATAAAATAATTAAATTACATGACATTTCTGTAACGCTTCTTTTTGAAACCAGACCCCCATCCATATCCATAAAAGCAAAGTAACTTTCTTCATGACAAGAAAAAAAATTTCAATTGAAGTAGAAGTCGTTATTTAATATATTTTCTAGGAATAATAACAAGAGATGAAATGAAATAGAATAAATAATAAGAAATTGTCCAAAGTGCTCCAATTGCACGCCACAATAGAGACAATTTCTTTCCTTTAATTTCTAAAATTTTCCTTATATTCTTTTACTGATATCAAATTAATGCACGACAAGCAACAAAGTTGAATAAAAAGGTATAAAAATTTCTTTCATTTCACGTTTATTTCACTGATATCGCATTTTACTGACAATAATTTCTGCAGTGCGGATTCAGATTTGTCGACGATCATGCGATTACCATGAAATGCTCACGATATCAAATGAGTCTTTCATGCTTGTCCTGCATAAAATAGAACGAAATGATATAAAAAAATATTATTAAAAAAATGTAAAGGGGATCGTTAATAATTGATGTCCATTGATGATTAAATTGCCTCAGTATACAATAAGATAGTTTCTGGATGTTTGTAGCCGGGACAGAGTATAAAATACGATATCAAAGCATATGCAAGTGAGTCAACTAGTAAAAATGAAAGTTTGTTGTAGTCCGTAGTCCAGGCAATAGACCAAAAATCTATTTTGATAGAACCGGGGTTGGATTGCCATCAGAAAGTATAGCTCAAGCTCCTTTCCCTGACGTTCACTTATTATTTGAAAGGCAAAAACTCTTTTTTGAATCCCCTCACCCACCCCCGGGCTTCCTTCTACCTATTCTAATTTGAACTGTTATTAAATCTTAGACTCGATTGAAAACGTTGCATAATAAGTGAACAGTTCCCTTACGACGAACTACTCTTTTAAATTATTAATGTAGATATCATTTATGAACGAAGCCTAAAGGGAAGAATAAGGAATTCTCCAAAGTAAGCACTTTCTGTATCATTTTTGTGCCAATTGGCATTTCTATATTAATACTTATTTTTATTCTTGCTACTTATCGGCACTCAAAAATCACAAAACACAAAAAAATGTAACAAGTGCCAATTACTTATCAAGGTCATTAATATCCGATCGTTGATATCAAATCACAACATATCGAATGACGTTAAAAAATAATTTTGTGTGTTTTTGCTACTTCCAATTATTTTTGATTATGAGCGAGAAATTTATTTTTTTGAAGCTAAAAAATCTCATTAATTTTTTTCTTTCTTTCTTTCTCCTGCTGCTGTCGATGTTCCTTTTGCCGAGCACAAAAAAAAGTATCAAATTTATTTCATTTTATTTTCCTATTGAATAAGGGTTGAAGGTTGTTATTTTACGTCTAATTTTGTGAAATATGCAGACCTTTAGCGATAATATGTATATGTGTGGTACGATTGGGGTTCAATAAGCAGGCAGCCGGAATAGTTAAAGGGTTATTCGAAGTGAAATTTTATACTCGATAAGAGGTCAATTTTTAACCCTTTCAAGAACTATTTTTTGATTAAAGTTAATGCTACGTGATTTATTAAATTTTTTTGTGGATTTTTATTTTATTTTTGTAAAGAAAAATTCGTTAAAAATCAAAAATTAATTTTCTTAAGGGTCAATAAGAAAAAATTTTAACCCATTTTTTTGTGAATGCTGAATTGCTGATAAAACCGTGAGAAATACACAAAAAATTTCTTACAACGAATTTTTTTAAGCATAACAAAACATTCCTAAATTAAGTCATTTATTGTGAAGCGAGCAAAAATTACATTTTCAGTTGTAAAACTATTTGTAATGTCTGCAATAACAACCTCAGCTATTTTATTTCTAGGATTTTATGTTTTACATGATTATAGTATTTTTTATACAGTCACAGGCTTGGACATTTTTAAATCTGTTTTATCATGTCTGTGACATCTACAGCTTAGTTCTTTAGAATTTTTTTCTTCTTGTTGTTCATTTTTGAAGTAGATTTATGTGCTGATAATTTCAATATTTTAGTTTTGCACAAAAATAAAAGAAGATTCTTCCGAAAAAAATAAACTACAATGTCCTTATCAAGATTTACAGCACCAGAAAAGAGGAACAAAAATAAATGAGTTTTAAAATAATTTGATTTCTTGCTCATTTGAGCAGAGAATGTAAAATCGTGTTTGATGAATGCATTGGAATAGAAATAATAATAAAATTTGGAATTAATTTTTGAGCAGCATAAGAAGCCATATACATGACTACCTACATTGCTTCTTACATTTTAAAATTATAATAATATTTTTTGAATTCATATGAACATGTTTTGTAATTTTAGACATGAAATTTGAAAATGCAATGCATTCATAACTCAAAACATTGATTTTTAACTGTATGTTATGATGAATGTTGGATATGCTGATGAGAAAATGTAGTTTTGAAGCCACATTTTTACATACATTCCACATTGATTGAAGCCGATTTTTTCGGCTTAAATCAATTTTTGATTTTTTTGATAGTAATTTGATTCAAGTATAAGAACTTAATTTTACATCCTTTGATATGATTCCGTGTTATAATGAGCTTACTATAGCTACAAGCTGTCAAAATTTAGGAAAGTATGAAGCTTCAATAGTTGAAAAATTGATTTCAGCCAAAAAAAATCGGTTTTGATCTTTGCGAATTTAATGGAATGATGATTAAAGCGCCTTATAAACCTCAATCTTCCATGTATTATTCTGTTCAACCCCATTCTGTCCCGTTCATGCCCATTCCACATCACGTAACTATCAAAATTTCTTGCTTATGAAGCAATAATAGTAAAAATATTTTATTATTTTTTGAACATAAAAAAGTTGATGAAAAAAGAAGCTACAAAAGTGAAAACAACATGTAGGGTAATTTGACCTGCCCTGGTATCATATGGTAGAATAAACTTTAACAGAAAATTGTTCAATTTATCGATTAAAATTTTAGGATTTGATATGATTATAACTTGATAGCATGTATGAATATAATAAAAATAAATCTCAAGGTCATTAAAGTGTATGCATTCACTTGAATAAGTGTAGTATATAAAGTGGCATGTACATGAATAAAAATAGTAGTAAGTTACACACAAAAGAAGGAGACACAAGTATCAATATCAACAAAACAGAGAACAGAAAAAAAATCATAAGTAGAATGTGTAGAATATCACA